AGAGAGAGAGAGAGAGACTTATATAGATAGATACATACATGCCCGTATGTATATGTATAGATAGATGCAGATATACTGATAAACTTTATCGTAGAGATTACAACGAGGACAGCTGATCGTCTCGGTATCGTGGATGCTTATATAGCTATTTCGTGTGGGTGGCCCGTGTTGACCTGCGATCTTCCAAGTCGGCGGCGTGGACCTCATAGTAAATTCTGTCAGGTGGTATAGACTTAACTTGACCCTTTAAGACAACATAACATATTTATATATACATGTATATATATATATATGTATATGTCTCTAATGTGTATTCTGTACTGGGTACTGTTTCCTTAGCAGTCACCTGTTGCGGTTTGGGCCATCTACTCTTGATGCACTTCAATGCTTGGCTATACAGATGAAACCTTTCCGCAAAATCCGCACTCCAAGGCTGACACTCAGGCTTCTATCCTTTATCTCCGACCTCTCGTCAATGATTGGTCCGCCATTTCAATAAGTCAGTCGTTGGTGTAGTGAAGTGGTTCTTCGGCCTAGCTTCGCCGCAGGACCGTGGCCACGGTGAAGCGCCTCTACGATGACCGGAAGCTCATTGTGGCCAAGGGCTTGTGCTCAAAGGTGATGGACACCTCGAGCGGTGGCCAAGACTCGGGGAAGCTCCAGTGGACGTGCGAGGCAGGGAGATGAGAGTGGTGGTGGTTCGTTGCGGCTGGTGGTATATGCTGGGAGGTTTGGGGTCAGGTGAGTGCCCAACGCGTGAATGATTCAATGGGCAATGGGGGAGCCGAGTCCTGACCCAGAATTAGTCTTAAATTTTTGTAATCCTTTCGTCTCACAGATGCTTTGCCGGACACTTCAAGGTCATTTTTGCGCACTTTGCCAGGAATGCAAAGAGGAAGGCTTCTTGGAGATGGTGCAGAAGACCGACCAGGTGCCAAAGACCGGGTTCTTCGGTTCTTCCGGAGCGTCCGACTCCCCCTGCGGCGAAACGCGCCCTCCCTTCACCACGCGCGGGACGTTCGCATTCCCGTGGGGACGGGAGCCGTGGGACGGGAGTCGAAACCGCGGCGATGGTGAAACCTTCATGTTCCACTGTTCCACCGTGACCAGGGTTGAAATCCTGATTGGAATTGGGATAAGTGGTAGGCTCGTAGGGATGGCCTCCCCAAATCCAAGATGCTTTGGTGTTTTCTTGGAAAAACCATGCAAAACCTATCTTAAAGGCCACCAGCTATACTGTAATGGACCTTTGGTTGACCTCTTTCGCGCGCTTTCCAACCTCACGCCAAGCAAATGGGGAGGAATGGCACCCAAAACGACCCTGTAGCTCAATTGCCAATTTTCTTGAAGAGCCGATGCACGAGACATTTGTGGGGATGGGCGCACCATTTGCGCCAACATCTCCCCAGTATCACAGCGTGTTACAGGGAGAAACATCCCGCAGCGTGCACCTGTGTGAAGGAGCTCACAAATCTGCTTGTTGCTGCAGCAACTCCTCACCGTTCGTCCAGGAGTTGTCCTCCGCGGGCTACAAGACCATCGCCGTGGCCGCCGGCATCGAGGGGGAAGGCGCCCAGTGTGGCCAGATAGGTAGTGAGCGCTTAGAGAAGCTAGGCAGGTAGATTCCCCTGCCAAAACTCACGTGGAACCTGAAAGGAATCCTGGAAGCCTGACACTTTCCTCTCCAGCCCAGTTGTTTTCAGAGTCCACGTTGAACCATGTTTTTGGAGGACTTTAATCTTCCAATTGGGTGACATGAGCCATCATGCATGAGCCTATAAGCCTAGATCCAGAAAACCAGTGGTAGCAAGTCAGCTCCAAGAGGAGCTTGGGCTGAGTGTGAGCAAGACAGAAAGAGGAACAACATTGAAGAACAAGGCCACTGTTCTTTGTTGTTCAAACCCAGACGCTTGGGTGTTTGAAGCCCAGATGCTGCACTCACCAAAGCCCAGGTTTGTCTTTCCCGTCTGTCCCGGTGAGGCATGCACTTCCTGGGCTTGTTGCCCATGATCGACCCCCCGCGCTACGATACCGCCATCACCGTGCGGCGGCTGATGGATGCGGGCGTGGAGGCCGCTGCGTGCGTTGGGGTGGGGATGTTTGGGGGGGGAAGGCGGCGAGGAGAATTCAGAGACCAGTGGCTGCGCATGTGTATTCAACAATAACAACCTTTGTCCACACACTCATGGATATGCACCAAGCTTGCCCATATCTTGCCGGATTCGTGTTTTTGGCAGCTAGTGTCGGAGTTAGTGTCGGAGCTGTGTTGTCACATCAATCTTTTCAGAAAGGCATTGTAAACGTTATGTAACGTTAGTGAAGTTATTCCAGTATTTAGTATTCATGCCGTGACAATGACAAAACAAACAACAAGTTTATTCGAACATACTCGAAGGAAAGCCTTGGAAAGCCTTAGGTTGGGACCGACCTGATCCATGGATCCATCCATCCAGCAGTCGACCGGCGATGCAGGTGAAGATGATCACTGGCGACCACCTGAACATTGCCATCGAGACGGCACGCATGGCCCCTGGCCCTAAGCCTTAGCTATGAGAGGGCTCGGCCTCGTGACCTCAGCTGCGGGATTTGGAGCACCAGAGAATTCCGGGCCTAAGCGGACGTCGGTAACGGGTCCTCGTTCCGCCAACCCCCAGGGACTTGGTCTTCGCTCCGGCCACCCGCCTCGTCGCGCCACGTCGATCGAGGTGGGCATGGCCACGAACATCTTGCCCGGTGAGGCCACCCGCGAGGGCGGCCACACCGGCGACGAGACGATCCGCCAGTCCGGTGGCTTCGCGCAGGTGGACGGGGGGAGAGGGTGGGAGAGGGTGGGAGAGGATGGGGAGAGGGCGAGAGGTGCGGCCTGAGTTTCAAGATTTGGAGTTTAGAGGTGAGTGCTGTGCATCTTTCTCTCTGTGGGCGGGATGTCTGACTGGAAGGTGTTTGAAGAAGGACCAGGCTTGGCACTGATGAACTTGTTGATTGGTTCAGGCCGTTCACGTCTGGTTTCTCGGTTATCTACATGTCCAGGTGTTTGCGACGGCCGCTGAGCTGTCCCCCCGGTGGCCATCGCCAGGTCTGCCAAACGGCCGCCAGGTGTTGCCCAGGGACAAGCGCGAGTGCGTCTTGGCGCTGCAGCGCTCCTACGAGCTCGTGGTGGGCATGACAGGCAGGTGCGACGTGTGGAGGGGTGGGCAAGCATGACCCCAGCGCGGTGGGTTCCAAAAAACACTTAGAGAGAGAGAGAGAGAGTCAGCAGCGCCCTCCCGAAGTTTTCCCGATCCACCGTAGCAAATCCGCATTGGTTGGATGGAATGGCTAAGAACAGTTTTTTCCCTGAACGTGCTACCCGTAGGCGACGGCGTGAACGACGCCCCGGCGCTCTCGGCGGCGCAGTGCGGCATCGCCGTGGAGGACGCGACGGATGCGGCGAAGAACGCAGCGGCCGGGTGGGTTGGGTGCCGCGGGGGTGGCGTGCACGGGGTCTGTGAAGCACAGCGTGCCCTGCAGCGAAGGAGTGGGACGTTCTTTCGCATGTTTGTTTGAAGTTTCACGGTTGAGTTGACATGATGTGGCTTCGATGGACGTTAGCAGCTCTTGATGGACGAAAGAACTCTCCGGTTTGGTTTGGCGGTCGTGTGCGCCGAGGCGATGATCCTCACCACCGAGGGCCTCTCCGCGGTCTTTGGTGCCGTGGTGGAGTCCCGGAAGATCTTCGCCCGGCTCTTCTCGCGGCTCGGGCGAAGCTGAGCCAGCTGGTTTGTTTGATGGTTCTTCCCTTCTTCCACGCTGCTGACAGTGGACACATTGCTGTTTTTGAGTTTTCGGGGGGCGGCTTTTGTGCCATGGTGCTTTGGACATTCGTAGAGTGAGCGGTGTGCAATGGGGTTTGGGGGCAAGTTCCTGTACAATGGGGGTAAGCGACCGCGTCGTTGCGGAACATCCTCCAAGCCGCCAAGAGATCTACTGTAAGAGTTTTTACAATCCAGAGTGGAGCATCGCACAGTAGAGTCGAGCATCGCCCAGTAGAAGCAAGTGGTGATGCAGATGAATGAGTCACCTGCAAATATGCTTCATTACTCTCAGGTACGTCTCCTATCGCCTGGCTGCCACCATCCAGATCTTGCTCTATTTGAGTATTTTGGTCTATGTCTTTGACTGTACCCTCGACCCCTTGTGCCTTGCCGGCATGGCGATCTAGGATATCTACTGCACACTATGTGGACAAGACGCGCTCCATGTGATTGTTTTCGCACCTCTCGGCATCTCCATGTCATCCAGACTGGTGAGATCTTGTGAGGCTCTTGGTTGAGACCACCCAGCTTTCTGGAGACCAGGTGACCTCCCCTTTTGGGCTGACCGGAAGGCAGATTCCTTGGAGGATCCTCCCATCTCTTCCCCTTCCTCCGGACCTTCCTCCACTCCACGCGGTGGTTCGCCCCGGTTCCGGCGGGGGGGGGGGGGCGGGAACCCCCGCGTCGACGGGTCGTCGGCTTTGGTCCGAGGTACGTGATCCTCCTGGCGCTCTTCAACGACGTCACCATGATCCCCGTGGCGGAGGACCGGCAGACGGCCGCCGCGGAGCCGCAGCACGCCTCTTGGAGCTCTTTTGGGGGCACGGGCCCGTGGTGTGCGGCGCGTGGGTTCCAGCACATTGCTGCGGTGGGTGGGATGTGGATGCCGAGATGGTTCAGACTCAGTGTGGATCCAGGAAGCTGTAGGTTGAATTAGGACTCCAGGGATCGACCGGACGGACCTAGCTCAAGGCCTTCGACCGGGTGAAATGACGCGAGCGGCTCGCGTGGGTGACGGGGCTTTTGGCATGGTGAGTCGTAGGCGTGCAGGAGACCAATTTCACTTCAAAGTGGGAGAGCAGCAAGAGTTGGAGTTTATGTTGTTTTCTCCTGGATGTCTTTCAAAGATCCCTCAAGGGATCTTCCAAGAGGGCCTGTTCCTGCTCTTCTGGATTTTGAATATAGGCTTCCAGGATGCTGCTGCGCGATGTCAACAGCTTTGGGCAGCGACGCGATTGGCAACGCCAAAAACACCGGTTGGGCTGGTGAGCTGGTGGCTTTTGGGGGTTCGGACAGCGTCGCTCGACCTGGGCTGGTGAGATGGGCGGCCCCTCTACGAAGGACATTGGACTCCTCCCATGCATGTTCCGCATGGTTCCATGTTCTTATCGCGTTTTCGGGTGGTTCGCCAGGCTTCGCCATGTCGCGGCCAAGTAAGGCCATGATTGGGCACTTGATTGGCTTCTCGATGACCTTGGGCGTCTTCCAGAGCGCCTGGGATGAGCTCTAAGAAGCCAGATGTTGAAGTTGAGATCCTTCCTCTTCTGACTGGTGCTTAGTGACTGAGTGAGAAAAACATGGGAATGGATCCAAAGGAATCACGATTGGAGGCTCATTCTCAGATTCCGTGATGAGCGCCAGCCTGCTTTGCATTCCTTTTTCCTTCGCTTCTTGATGAGCAGGTTTGTTGTCTCATGCACCATGGGCGCGCCATGGACCGTCGGCTTTGAATGCACCCTGTAATTAGCATCCGACGGTTTTAAGCTACTGCAGAATGTGGGGATGCCCAAAACTGAGCAACGTTCATTTTAGTAAATTGGGTGCGTGCCAGGGCTCGGACTTTGCGTGTCCAGGAAAGGTGTAGCGTTTCCTAGCCCAAAGAGAAGCTGTCAAGACAATTCCCAAGGTGTGGCATCCATCATTTTCTACCTGTGCATGGACATGGGATTGGTCAAGGGCATTGAGAGCCCTGGCAGGGCTCAACTGTTGATATTAGATACTGTATAAGTATACAAGTATACAACTATATGTATATGTATATGTATATATATATATGTCTGTCGTTTTCCCCTCCCGAACTTCAAAAACCATGATGGCCTTCTCTGTTCTTTTTTCTCAAGGGCCACCAAGTAGCCTTTTGTTGGTGTTTTGGTAGGCTTTTTGTCTCTGATACTTGCTTCCGGAATCCTCCCACTGGTATTGGTTTACAGATGGAGGTTCGGACCAATTGCGACTCCTCTATTCGCAACGTCAAGCCGGTGGGGACTGTGTGTGCCACGCAAGTGACTGGAAGCCGTTTGGGTGACGCACGGACGCAAGGAGCCACACCAAGACTGGGCACTACCCGACCTCAGTCCATGCACAGAATGCAATCTGGCTCCAGGCGGGGGGGGTGTGGCCTTGAACCGATGCCTGAAGCGGTTTCCAGGCCTCCGATGCCGAGCCGTGCGGGTGGTCGCACCGATGCCGAGCCGCTTGCCTCGCTCGTGCGGTCGAGGTGTCCATCGCTGCGGAGTTCTTGATCTTCTCAGCTCGGTCGCCTGGGCTTTTCTTCTTCAGCAGGTGCCCAGTTCACTCGACACTCGCAGACGGTGTAGGTCGTGCCGTGTGTTTGCATAAAATTGCACGGTGTGTGAGTCTGCGCAAAAAGGGAATGGAAGAATATGGGCCACTTTTTGGTGGAAGAGTTGAATGATTCCTGAATTATTGCCCTCCTACCTTGCCTGGATGGCTATTTTTCTCTACAACCCAGTGGCTTTCAGGTTCCATGTCAATCTTCTAGGGCGTATGGCCACGTTGGCAATCGATGGATCAAAAGGACTGGCAGACCCGGCAGCGAACAACGAGAACAATCAACCTCTCTTGGGGGGGTTTGGGGTCGTTTGGTGGAATACCTCTGACACCATCTGACACCTGCCCTAACATGCATGCCCCGAAAGGTAGTGATTTGCCCCACCGTCCCAGCTCCGGCCCCTGCGAGGCCTTCCACGGAGCTCTTCATCTCCACCATGCTGGGCAACGTGCTCTCCACGCTGTTGGCCGTGCTGCTCGGTTGAATGGTTTCAAAAAGATGCCGGGATTTGTTCTCCGCTGTGTCTGGAGGCTCTTGGCATGTTGGGGGGAAATCTGATCGCTTGTTTTGGGATGCATTCGGTAGTTCGCTGTATGTGACGGTTTTTCGCATCAGATGGATGCTTGGTTTTGGTAGATTTTTGGTACTGCTACTGCTGCCTGTCAATAAGCGTATGTGCCTTTAGGGGTTCCACTCCCCAAAAGCGAGCTCTTGTGAACGTGACCTTTCCCCTACCCTTTGAAGGCGACGTCGACTCTGGCGACAGGTTGGCCACAGGTAGTCCTGCACGAAGATTCCGTCGGCTCTGGCGGGGGTTTCAGGGCCTCAGCCTGTTGGCATTCAAGAGTGTATAGTCCTGCACCTCGTTCCCCTCCGTCCGTCGTGGTTCCTTGGATGCTCCAAGGTATGCCTTCCCAGAGCCTTTGGACGCCCAAGAGTGTCTGATCGTTTGGGCCTATGACCTTTGCGCGCTGCTGGCGGTGGATTTGGCCAAGATGGTTTACAAGTTTATCCATGAGGCAGGGGACGCTGGCATCATTGAGTCTTGGAGCAGACTAGACTGGGGTGTTTGACTGGGGTGGGGGAAGGGTGAGACGTGCCGGAGCATAGAGGCCGCGGGTAGATGATGCAAGAAGAAGGGATGTCACCCTGAAAAAGGCTCAACAAAGAATTGTGTTTTGGTCACTTTGGTCCGTGTGGTCCTGTTGAACCTGATGGCGGCAAGTGAAGCCCCTTTAGGGGCGACTATGAGGCTGCAACAGTCTTGGGATTCCATCCTTGGCTGGAGAGGTGCTGGCAGGGATTGAGGTGTGTTCTTTGCTCTCCCTGTTTTACATCAAAAGCATTCATAAGTGGGGAGAGGCCCAGGGGGAAGCGTGTTTCACCGCCAAGGATGAGTATGAGCTGGCCTTGGAGGACGAGAGCCTGAAAAAGGAGGATGAGACTTGGATAGATTTTGTCAGGAGTTGTATGATCATTTGCACCTAGTGTTCCATTCGTCAGGTCCGTTTTCGAGCACCCCCGGGCTTGTTTACACCCCGAGCCCTCCAAAACCCACTCATTTTGGGAATCTTCGGCAGGCCCAGTGGAAACGTATGACCTCGCTAGGAAACGTCTGAAGGCCCAGGGTCCAGCCTCTTTTGTTGAATCTGCTCTCCTTTCAATTTGAAGACTGCTTCCAGGACATTCTTGAGGAATAGGTTCCATGGCCGGAGGATTTTTGGATTCTAGCTCCTTGTTCCTCGCATGTTTCCAGACGCCTGCTCGTTCGGATTCGTTCGGAGTGGGTTTGTCCATGGCCATACAATGCAAACGTGTCCTCTTCCAAGCTGTGTTTGGGGAGCAGAAGGGCCTGTAGTCGTGGGAGACTGCCTGCGATTCAATGCGATGAACATCGCCCAAGACCCACATCACCACTACCTCCATCACCCCATCCATCCCCTGTCCTCTCAGGAGAGTCAGCCCCCTGTGGACCCTGAAGCGAAACTGCGCTCCGTCCGGGAGAGCATGAAGATGATGCAGCAGAACAGCAGCCCGGCCGAGTGGAAGGGCGCGTGATGTTTCGATCGATGACCACACCAAACTCGATCTCGTCGCCATCGTCGTCTTCCGAGTCTACTCTGAGTAGGGGACTCATTCGAGGAAGAACAGTGGGCAACTCCGGGGTCGACCTGTTTTGAGGGCCTGAGTGGAAGTGGGAACGTTTCTATTTACTGCCATCTCAGAGGCTCAGGGGTTTAAATAGAATCTGAGATGGTCTTTGAACGTTTCGACCTTGTTCCCCTACACCTGCTCGATTTGAGATGGACGTGGGTTTCCCCACCAATCGCACGCGAAATTCCAAGCGATTCCCAGGCATGCGCTTGAGTCAGAAGGGTCGCAGCTCCATGAAGTTCTTCGCCACGGGACAGCAGCGCTCTTCGCGCTGCTGGGATAGAAGATGGGAAGATACGGAGGGACTGCATTCGAAAGGCTATTCAATGGCCCTTGCTGCTTTGGTATAGCGAGAGATATCGACACACCCACACAGACAAACACACACTCAGATACACACCAGGAGACACATAGTGGATTCACATGCAGACCTCAAATCCGTGGGGGGTGCGGTAAACCCGCCCTTCTACGTTCGTGTTTCACCTTCCTTTTGGGCTGGTGGGTTTCGTCCAGTGCAGCGCTGGATTGATGGCCAGTGGCCCTGTTTCACTATCACCCTGATCACATGACCTTTCACCTGGTTCCTCATGTGTACAGATCCAGGCAATGCTGCCTGCTTTCTCGTTTGCTTGTTCCTCTACTGAAGAGCTAAGAGGACGCTACTAGGGGCTCCTGGCCGGCCGCCGTACTGCTAGGAACAAGGACGCTGCTAGGAGCAAGAAGCTCTTAGGTGCCAAGTGAAGACCAACGCTACCCCCACACATATTCATGCGTAGCGTTGTGCCCCAGCCTGGCCACGCCCAAAGTGGAGGCCACCAAGACACCAGTTGACCGGGTCCTCCCGTGTTTCCTCCCGTTCGAGGCATCATGTCCCAATCTTCCAGCATGGCCAACAAGAGCTTCACAAAGATGCGCAGCTCGATGGTCTACGGCGACGACCTGCGGCTCCTGGGTTTCAGATGGGGCCGGGCTCCGTAACTCCGTGCCCCCCCAAGGAGACCACACGTGTCATGACTTGAACATTTTTGGACTTTAGACCTTATATTGAATTATAGAATTATTTACATTGCACGGATATATATATATATATAGGCGGTTAAAGAGGGGCAGCGCAAAGTGTCATCATAGTTTTATACTTCTATTGTTCGTCCGCGCTTTCCCTCATGACCATTTTGTGGCCCAAGTCGATTTAAGTGAGGATTTGCCGCCTTCACGCTCAGGAAAAGGACTCCTGCCTCGATTCGCTTCAAGTGAGCAAGCAGCAAGACAGTTTCGGATTTTGTGCGGCGCGCCCCCCCGCGCCCTGTGCGTTTGGCGCAAAGCCGCAACCCCTTTTGTCGGCGCCGTTCCAAGGCCTGAGCCGACCGAATCGCTTGTGGCAATTATGGGCACGAAAAATTCTGAAGATTCTTTGTCCGAGTTTGCTGCGTGTGGCGTCGTTCCCAAGGTTCGGTTCCACCATTTGCTCAAAAGTTCCTCCCACACCCTCATCTGCAACACTCTGAAAGACATGACGCCTTTTCCCGGGGTATGCTACAGGCAAAGCCGATCGTTCTGATGCTTGTGCACAATTTCAGGCGTCGGAGGAAAGCCGGCTTCAGCGGCTTCAACCTTTAATCTTTTAAAGAACAGGGCCTATAAGTCTAACGTTAGGAGACCTCCCGGCCGTCCCAAAGCCACCGCCACACGCCGCCCACAACGCCCCCCGTCGTCGACCGCCTCCAGGCCGCACCAGCCTGCGCTCCAACGAGCGCAGCGCCGGAAGCAGCGAGCGCGACGCGGAGCTGGAGCGCTTGAAGCTGCGGCCGGGGGCGCCCGGCGCGGTCGAAGGCGTCGAAGGCGTTTCGGACGGTTTCAGCGAAGACGGGCCCCATCGGTGTTTCTTTTTGGGCGAGCAACGAAGGGGTGAAGCATCTGGCAAAGGTGGTGGTTTTGGGATGGGTTTCGTGCACCAGGGGCTGAATCTTTTTGGGGATCTTCGTCCGACTTGGCTTTTTGTGGTTGGGCCTCTGCGTACACCCAGACCTGATGCTCGAGTTGTATCGTCGTGTTTCTTGGTTTTCCACTGTTTGGTCGCAGGATGTCGCAGGCATCTCAAAGAGGTTGGACCTTATTGCACAGTTGGAGCAAGACTTATTATATGGCATTTGGGCTCAGGATTTGTGCCACATAAGGTGCCCCCTACCTTATAATTACAAGGAAATGTAAGTTCCTGTAGGCTTCATCGGGTATGTTGACTCATGGATGGACAGACATAGAACATGACATACCGAATGAACTCCGCCTGAAACCATGAACTTACAAAGGCCATCGCGATTTTTTTGCGAATGACGCATGTTCCTGGCATGGCCATTGTCCATTGTTTGGCACACTTTCCAAGTATTTTCCATTTGGAAGGCCAACTCAAAGAGGGGAACTGCCAGTTGAGTCGATACGGACGGAGCGCTGGGAGTACAACAATGTCAAGCCCACCGTGGCAAGGTGCTGCATTCCACGATGAGAAAACTCATCAGTCACCCCGGTGCAGGTTTCAACAGGCCTACAAGGGTGGCAGCCAAGAGGGTGCGTTTGAGGGTGCGTAACAGAGCACTAAGGTCCACCCCCCGCAACGGCAGATGGAATTCACGTCGAACTCATCAATAACATCATGTCCATGACGAAGTGCCACGGACTCCACTGCCATTTGGCGTTTGAAAGGGGTGGCCAACTGCTGCCCACGCGACAGGTGTGATGACTTGGAGGAGGCCTGGTACCTGGGCCTTTTTAGCCAACTCAACTAGAAGATCCAGAAGGCTGCTTAGGATTCTAGGTGCAGATTCTCAAGACTATTATTGGCATCGTGGTGCCCCTCCGTCATTTTTTCTGAGCGATTGAGCACAGGAGCGGATGCATTTAGCCGCCGAGCTCGAGCTGAGCCAAACGGAATGTGCGCCTGACATCAGTGTAAGCAGTGGTGGGATGGGGGTGGGGTGGCATGGTGGGAAACCTTGGGAGGCTGCTGGTGCAGGTGCCATTGATGCGATGAAAGGAAGCAGAAGATCAGGGCTGGATATGAGGACACTTGTGTAGGAGCTATCAAGCCAGTGAGTCCATGTAGTACGGACTTGATGGGTGTGGATGCGGAAAGGTTTGCCACGCCGCCCCCGACCCTGGCAGCGGCACGGCCTCCCGGGCTCCCGGCCTCGCGTGGGTGGCGCTGAAGGTGCCAACCTGGCAGAGGCTCTGGAGAAGAAGGATCGTGGTCAGGGATGCTCAGACACAAACGCACAGCCGCTGGATGACATTCCCCCCTGCAGCAGAGGAAGTGAGGTTGTTTGTTCAGGGTTGGGGTATCGATAGGCTGTTGCTGTACGAAGCATGTAGGATGGTCGCACGTTTTCATGGGCAGGATGGCTCAGAGCATTCCACCACCGCACTGAAAACTAACATGGACTCTGGAACCACTGGTTTGTAAAGGAAAACAGTCTTTCAGGGTGCCATTCTCAGGGTCCATGTTAGTTTTCTGGAGTGTCTTGACCTCCGGCAGCCTAGATTTCAGGTGAAGAGGACGATGAGGCTGATGAGCGAGAGGACTTGCATGCCAGGTGCTTGCCTGCCAAGACAGGATGATGTGTCTGAACCATGCATCGGGGGTCAAGTGAGACTGGATGGAGTTGGGCGAGAGAGTGTCTCCTGCTGAAGTCGGTGTTGGCATTCAAAAGGCCCGTTGGCAGAGGACGAGCTCATCCCAAAGGCCGTTCTTTGTAGGAACCTTTCCCAAATCTTTGCCGGGGCATGTGACTCTGGGGTCTTGTGGACCTGAGAAAGCCCTTCTCCTCTCTTGTGAGGTGCACGCGCCTGGAAGCAGAGAAGGAGAAGCTTCAGAAGCACGTGGAGAGGAGCGATGCGGGATGGGAAAAACGAGTCCGTTCATCTGGGGTTTGTTGCAAGTGAATTTGCAAGGAAAGACGCCGGTCCCTGTTGGTGGGGGCCATTGTCTACCACAGAACGAAGACGGAAAGCACCTCCGGGAATGAAGACGTTCGTGGGAATGAACAAGGTACCACTTGAAGCACCCATCACTATCAGGTCCTAAAGGCTCCAAGGCCCATCACTTCGCAGCCCCAAGGCCCGCGCCGGTCCAGGTGGCTTGCTGGCCCTCTATCACTTCGACGTTCCGCCGCTCTCACCGAACGCGGACAATGGTCCTGTCCTGTCGCGCTGGGAGGCTCTGGCAGATGTCCGAAGCGCAGGCTCCCCAGGCCCCGACCCGAGCGTTTCGTCCACCAGGTCCTGGACGGGGGGGCCGGATGAGGCGGCGGATGGTGGAGCAGGCCATGGCTGAAGGATCCGAAGGATCTGGCTGCCAATACGGCCAAAAGATGGTTTACATGCCTTTTGGATCCTTTAGGGCTGGAGGACGGGCCCCAGATCTTCAGAATCCTCATCTTCGGACATGGAACTGTGACCGCATCTAGCCACATGAGTGGTGCTCTCTCCAAGTGGGGTTTTAGCATTGGGTGCCCAAGTTGGAGCCACAGGTCAGTGGACCATCCTCCACTTCCATGATGGTTGGAGGGAGGATGCATGTGGGGCAAACCTGAACCAAGAGCCCCCAAATGAGCCCTTCTAGAGCCATCTATGCAAGATAGGCTCCGGGCCGCCTGGATGAACTAAAGCACCCTTTCACTTACGCCATCGATGCAAGAAGGAGCTTGCGTTTGCGGTGAAACCAGGGCTGTTTGTTGCAACTCTCAGTGGACATCCTTACTTTCCAAACTTCGTGGTCAACTGCTAAGCTATGTCAGAACAAGAAACGATCTGTCTCTGCCAGCTTCTTGTCTCACCGCGGTCTTCCAGCATCGCGTCGCTGCTCTTCCAGGCCCGACAGGGCAGCGCCGGAGAATTGACCTTCCAGGTTTTGGCGCCAGGGGGGTTGGGGTCGGGCCATGGGCTGGCGGTGGCCGGGTTTTGGAAGTCCAAAGTGTGGGATTCGAAGGTCAAGAAGCTCCAAACATGTGACTAGACGGCAGGAGGGTTTTTTTCTGAGGGTTGGACTACGCATTTTGTGGATTGTGAGGTCCCGTGCGCATTCCCATCGTCAGCCAGCCTTGACAACAAACTCTCGTTGCAACTTGACGGAAGACGCTTGAAGCATGTTGTGCTGTCCGCAGATCAGATTGGTCTCCTCGTTCGCTGTGCGCAGAAATGGCATCAAGCGGGGAGCTGCCTTCACCCTGCAGTTGTTCGTCCCTTTTCTCCGCCCAAAAGTGATGAAGATAGAACTCCCAGGTCTTTTGCCTGCTTTCTCCGTTTAAACTGGCTCACCCTTGATGGTAATCCCATTGAGCTTTTTGTGGGTGAGGGCCGACGGCCCAGGCGGCGACTGAGCGGGCGGTGACTGACAAGCTGGAGGACGAGAGGCACTCAATTCACTCTTCTGGTGGTCGAGTGGCCGAAGAGTACGTCACCGGCCTTTTCCTTTGCGAGTCTTGTTTGCAGTCCGCTTCAGTCAAGGTGACCCTCAGTGGAGGTACCACTCTGGTCGCTGTTTAGACCAGAAAGTTCAGGGTTGGCGTCGTTCCGCGTTTCGGCCTTCGGGCATCCAGCGCAGGCGGCTTAGCCTTGCCCTCGAGGAGAATGGTGAGCTTCAAGTGTGCGAGAGCCAAGGTGATGTGATGTGGGTTTGTGAGGGCTGCCCTCAACGTGTAACAGGCATAGTTAAAACAGGAATCATGGGTTTCAGAGGTCTTGACTCTTCTTCGACCTATTGTTGACGGTTGATCAATGGACCACCCTCATATGGAGACGTAAAGCTATTCTGGTATTGGGGTTGCAGTATATAGTCCCTTTATATCCATCCTCCAACTCGGCCGCAACTCATTTTCCCACGGCGACCGGTCGCGGCCAACCGGCCGACCGGCTAAGCCGGTGCGACCGGCTAAGCCGGCACGACCGTCGGCCGTCAGGTTGGTGGAGACCCTGACATCTCAAGTCAAAGACCTCGAGGACACCGGTGCTTTTCTAAAGGGGGCGAAAGGAAGGGTTGGGGTTGGAGACTGGGCAAGACAAGCGGCGCTTGTTGGCTTGAGTTGGATTTCAAGTCATATATAACTGTACTATATAGATGACTCTGACCCTAACCATCTCATGGGAGTTTTGGTCGTCTCGTGCCTTTAGACCTCACGTCAGCCATCCCGACTTCACAAAGGTGAGGTTTGATGGGAGGGCACTAAGAGTTCAACTTCTTGACCTTTTCGTGCGTTTCACCAGGAGCGCCTTGCAGCGGAAGAGGTTGGGCCCTGGGTTTGGGGGGGGCGGGCCGCTAAGCTTGTGAGGTCAACATCATACGAGGTCACTGGAGATCACAAACAGCTGGGCCACCGCGGTCCAACCAGGGTTGAACTCATGTTGGTTTT